TGGACAATCCACAACAGAGGTGTTACAGTCTTGGTAGCAACACAGTCACCAGATGAGCAAGCTGCCATCTTGATTGCTGAAACAGAACTGGTACCTCTGAGGCCTTTGTCCATAGGTTTTGTTTGTTTTAGCTGTACAAGTTTATTAACAGTTACAGAAAAAGAAATTACACAATTTGCCAACTGAATCTCACAAGGTCAGTGGGTACAGTTAAACAAATGTAATAATCATTAGGTTAATTTTTTTTAAAGCTGAAGAAATTCATAAAATAGTGTTAGTTTTAGCACTATTACACAATGCAGTGAGTGCTGTACTAAATAACCTTTTAAAGGAAACAAGAATCCAGTATAGGGCTGGGCTGACCTCCCATTTTAGCATGGTAAAATATCAAACTAAAAACTCAATCCTTCATAATATAATCAAACTACATGAAATGTAAAGTGTAAAATGCTTCGAATACGTGCACATGCATATTCTATATTGCTATCAGTTCTAATTAAAATAAACGTAAACCCCTACAATAATCTACTTCAATCCTTTTCTCTTACATCCTTTGATTGATATTATTGCTATAGATGATACTGCATAGCTGAGCTCACAGTCTGCAAAGAGTTGTGAAAGTCAAGTTAAACAGTGTCCCAACCAACTTTCTTCCCCTCTAGTCTTGGGGAAGGAAAGAGCCACCATTTGAAACCCACCACTTGTGCTTCGGAGTTCCTGAAAGCTGAGTCTCCACGGTGCTCTCAACACCGGTGTGTCTCTCACAAGGCCATAAAGTGACAGTATACTGATATTTGCTCCTCACTTGCTACATGTCTAGTGATAGCTTTTCTAGCACTCGTTCCCCAAATACACATAAATAAACCGTATAAGCATTTTCATATAAGTCTAAGCACTTGAATAATACACTGGTTACTTAATACTGATATTTTCATCCAAGGATAACAAAAACAATATGGCTTAAAGAATTGCAAGGTTTTTTGTCAGAATTATGTACCAACTTTCATATAATATTTTATGTAGACAATATTTCCTTCTTAATGTAGTTCTGTTGCATACTTTATACAGACAAAAGCATTGTAAAAAAAAGTAAATTATTTCCATAAATATTTTCTTGAGGATACATCCTTAGTTCTGCAAAATACTGCAAAATACTTAAGAAAACTCTTACCTCCGTTAGTATCCTAGTTGAGAGGAAGGCCCTTCTGAAAGCTTCCCAATTGTAAAAACTTTGCCCAAAAAACAAACAATACTTTTTAAAAAGGCCCTCAAATATATACAAAAAGTTACTGCAAAGAGTTTCCAGATAACAATTCAGTATTATAAGAAATATTTGTAACCATTCAAAAATTTTAACATCTAAAAAGGTTTCCAAAATACACACATAGTATTAAAAAAAAAATTGAAAGAAACTCTATGTCAAGTATAACTCAAGATAAATACACATCTGCAAGTAAAACTGTAAAATACTTCATACAGGGGTAAACATTTATATCAATCATCTATAGCTAGTAACTGCACACGATTGTCCCTTTGAAATTCATCCTAGAAACACAATCCATCATCCCTATATCTAAGATCTCAAACAGCCCTCTGAGCACTTGAGCGATATAGCAACCTCAATGGACAGCACTGGTTTTGCAGATAAGAAAGAGATATGGGTGGAAGCCCACTTGGGAGTGGAGTGATATCTGAAAGAATGGTTTTTCTATGGGGATAGTTCAATCACATTTTAAAGTATGTTGGCAAAGGCAAGTGGAAAATATATGTCTATCTACTTAACTTGAAAAACACGTGTTGATGATTTATTGCTTACTGTTCAGTGGAAAACTCTTAGGATCCAGAATAGGACAAAAAAAAAAATCTTCTGTGTGACTGCAGGACAAAGACCACTAGTCTATGGAGTCTGACATTTCCAAAAGCTCTAAACTTTTAATGTTTTAAGTAGGGTTTGGGTTTTTTTAAAAAATGCTAGAGTGTCACAGGTATACAATCCATGTATAATCTAAATTTCTTGTTATATAAAAAGGTAAAATGTAGATAATACTTTTAGGTATAAGGCTTCTCTCAGACATATGTAACTTCACATTTTTAGTTTAAAAACTAAGTCCCATATAATGGGGAACTTCAAAATACACCTCTTTTCAGAAAGAATATATACTCTTGTGTATTTATCTGAAATTAAATAGCAACTTTGAGACAAAAATGTCTCAAACATTGCTTGTGTGGCATCATTTTACATCTGTTGTAGCAGCAGTAGGAACTGGCTAAAATGGGGCCATCCTTTAAATGACTAGGATATTTCTTCATCACCTTTAAATGAAGTATTTGTAATAACTTCATTGTAGCCTCATTAGGTTAAAGCAGCTAAAAACCTATGACACACATTTCAAATTCCTCAAACATTTTTCCGGAGGTGTGCCAATGCCAAATTTGATATGAAATGTTTATGACCAACTCATTAAAGAAATTGCAGGGTGTTTATTTGTTTGATTGGTTTTTGTTGCTGGTTTTAAAGAAATAAATGGAAGTTTAAAAAAAATCTAAAAAAAGGTGAAATTTTAAAAAAAATAGAATAGGACAATGTATTGGTGGGCTGTCAACAGCAAGCATCTGAGGTTGAAAATCCAGTTTGCCAAATAAATGCAGAGAGCCAAACTGCTCTCAGGTATGCCTCTAAAGAATACTCAATTTAGGGAGGCCTGTATTGATTAAAAACTCTTTTTGCTGATGCTTGCTTCACTCTTGCTAATACTGTCTACTAATGCCTTCAACAATTGCTAGCTGATGCTCTCAGTGCAGAAAGAGAACATCCAAAAGCAGTCACTAAAATTTAAAAGATAAATCAATTCCTCATTTTTCCCATCAAAACTCTGCACCTTTACCCTTTGTTTTCTAATTTGAAGAGAGCTGGCTACATCTATAGGTGAATTCCCTTTGTGTGGGGAGGGAGGGAGTAGAAGTAATCTATATTTTGTAATCAATCATCCTTTATTTCCTTTGAAATAAAAATTCAGAAATGTCCCTTCTCTGCCACTAACTAAAACCCAATGGTCATAAGCTGTTACACACAATTATGTGATGTGTTTTCCAGCCGCTCCCACTGCACAGGCTCAGTGCGGAGCGAACGCTCGGGCCCCGGGCTGCAGTGCCAGCAGCCGGGCCATGCAGGCAGGGACGGGGGTCCGAGCTCGGCGCTCCTGCCCTGCCCGGGCCGGCCCGGGGGAGCGGGGTCCGGCCTGCGCAGGGAGGAGGTTCCCGCTGCCCCGGCACCGCCGGATTGCTGCCTCGCCTTGGGCAGTAAAACCACGGCAGTGTCACTCCGTGCTTTCCCACACCTTGTGTTCTTCGTCTGCTTCCCCCCAGCGCCAGGACAGGGGGAGATCCGCTCTCCTCTTTGTTACAGATAGGCTAAGTATCACTTAAATACTTTATATGTCTCCTGCCTAGGAACACATCAATAATATAAATACTGAACTCTCATAAGTATGCTCTCAAGAATTGTTATGCTGCACCTATAGACGTTGTGTTAAAGTAGATCATGTGTATTTTTAGTGTAATCTAAATATCCATAAGCTAAAGGCATTGCCTTGCCGTGTTGAATATGGATAAACAATTCTTAATAGGGCACTGTCATGAAAATACCAATGCTTATAATGGCATCTTTTAGTCAGGTTTTTGTCAGAACCTGCTGGTGTGTGATCTAGTGATACAGCTATATCAAGAGTTGTGGTATTTTACTCGTTTTAGTGGTTATCATAACAGGGAGATAATTTCAGTACTGAACAAAATGTTTGATAGCAACATCCTAGTTTCAGGGAGAAAATAAAATAACGTTTTCTCTTCTTTTCATCTAAGAGGGTTTTTCTACAAGTTGTTTAGCTAGATGTGAACCATCTAGGTGATTTTTTTTGTTCCTGTACTATTAAGTGCTCAAGAGGAAAAAATAGATCTGGTCTAAAATGCTCCTCTTTCAAAATTACTCATGCTTGAAACAAACTATTGAGATTAATCCTAGAGGTCAAGCTTAGAAAATCCACCCCTAGATTTGCTTGTGTATTTTCTTACTTGTATAGACAGATTAGTATCTTTGTTGAGAGAATTTGTCTCTAAGTTAATTTGTGAATCTGTGCAAAAGAATGTGTTTGCATTTGAAAATGCTAAAACTGCATATCTTCACTAAGGCAACTGAATTGTTTATTAGTGTTACTTTCAATAATATTATTTTCAGCTATTTTAGTTGGAGTTGCTAACTGGGCAATAGTAGTTTCCAAGTGATTAATTTAGTTAATTCTATTTTAGCATTACACAGCACTTTTCATCCAGTGATGCCAAAACACTTAAGAGATATTAAGTAAACCTCACAACTCTCCTGTGAGGTAGGTATGCTAAAGTATTATTACCCCCTTTTTGCAGTTGGGGAAACTGAGGTCCAGAAGGATCTTGTGACTTGCCCAAAATCAGGGAGCTATGGGAGAGCTGTGGTCATAAGCTGGGAGTCAGGATGCTTCTCCATTGCTGTGAGCAGCAGGCTGGGTCACTCAGGCTGCCCATAAATAATAGAGTTTTCAAGACATGTACCTGCCACTCCCACCAAACAAGCAGATGCAATTTTGCCCTGCTTATAGCAAAGCAGGGAAATGGCAAGAGCTGGACCCTGCAGCAGATTTGTCAGGAGCTACATGTTCTCTAGGTGAATACTCATAATAAGTTCTCTACTTTCTTTATAGAAGCTTGTCTTGACATACTGGTAACATCCTGCTATCACTTGGCATAAACCCCCCACTTTCTTTGCATTACAGAGCTAGTCCTCAGAACACATTTATTTCACATCAAGTTATTTAGGATTTAAAGTATTTTCTCTAAGTATCATTCACACAAATCAATCTCCCTAAAGGAAACTTCATAAAAATGTAAATTACTGATGTAACCCCCCCCAACCTCTAACATTATTCCTCTAATTTTTTTAGTGAATACTACAAATTAATTGCTTGTTGTGTCCTTTTGCCAATGTACTCTCATGTAGACGTACAATCAGGATACTGTCTCGAGGTACTTTCAGTTTGCCAATCCCTGACAAGATGTTCTTTGCAGCAGGCTGTCCCTGTGCAAAGTTCTACCTGAAATGGGACAATGAAATATAATTCCTAAGTTTCTCCCCAGGTATGTAGGTCTTCTTCAGGAAGACATAAAGAAAGAGGGTTATATAGAGTGTTCTCCATGCCTTAAAACACCCCTATGGCTAACGTGTTTCATATCATAACAAATTTCTATAGTAGAAAACAGGACACAAAAATATTTCCAGGAAGTGGCTTTTAAACTACTATAAATAGTAAGTTTGGCTAATCTTTTAGTTAAGGATATTGGGGTCAGTTTTAAGTATTCTTATCCCCTTATTCATAGTAAATTTAATGTGCTTATAGCCTAATGAACATGTCATGCACGTAGAAGGGGCCTTGTCAGTGGGATTATATGACAAGAGAAGGATCTGGTAGTTGCATAAGCAAGCCAATTTTGTCTCCTACAAAAACCTCTTGGAATCTTATGGCATTCCCTTCCTACCCAACCCACACCCCTCAAACAATTATTCACCTTTTTTTTCATGTCCTGCAAAAATTATTTTGCCTAAGCCCTGCCCAAGAGATGGTAACAAATAGAAAAAAGTCCAAGAAATCAGCAGTACAAACCTCTTAAGACTTTCTAAAACTGGGAAAGCAGTAATTCTCCTTTTATGCTGTGGCTTGTTTTATCTTCCTTTGTCTTGTCATATAATAAGAACAGTGTTCATGTTGTGGGTGAGTGCTTACAATTAGTGGCCCCACAGTTACTGAACCTCTGCAAAAGCCATACATGTAACAAATATTCCTTGTGAACATTATTCCTTGCCTTTTGAAAAGTACTTCATTTCACCTGGCTGTGATATAGGGTCTGTGTAAACAATCAGCAGAACCTGTAACTGCAGTTCTGTTGTGAACATCATCAGTAACACCTTATGTGTGTACATATATAAATTTACATATATATGTATACAAATCATAGTCCTGTAAATACCTATTGCATGCATGCACATGCACAGGAGAAATGTTACATTCTATTAATGGTAAGGCATATTATTAGATAGGCAATATTGGCAATTATTTTAGCTTTTATCTTGATCTGATGTGCTGCTGTTGATGGCATGCTGCCAGAGAATCTCAGGATGATGGGGATGGGAAGAGGCCACGTTGAAGGTTTATTGCACACGGCGGCAGTAGTAGCCCAAGACTTTGCACTTCTCACACAGATGCTGAGGGTGTTCTTTGCTCTGGTCTGACACATCCAGGCCGTCCGGCTTTTCCAGGGGTCTCTGCAGTGGTGGGAAGGAAATCAGGTTAGATCCAAGGTTTTGTCCTTGGTACTCTTTATTCAGCATCTGAAGTCTACTGTTAGGCCCTAACTGAGCTTTCTACTGGTAATTAAAAAGGTACCATGTTCCTTTCCTGAAGGTATGGAGTGATTTTTTTCAGCCCTTCGGCTCTACATTGGTTCAGAGTGACCTCACAATTTAATGTCGTTCTTCAAAAAGGTGCTGTTAACTTGGTTGCAGACCAATTACAAAAATACTGAATTGAGGACTTCATTTCTAAAAAGCAGTAACAAAAGAGTTCATTTGCTTAGCTCCAGTAACTTGTATGTCCCAAAGGCACTAACACCTAAAGCCTGGGAATCCCATAACCCAGCAATGCAGAGCAGGGATTATCAATGTTAGGACTAGCTGCTACATGAAGAAAACTGTCATACTATGCACAGATATTACATAGCTAAATGGTGCTTTCCCAGTAGGTAGTCCCATGGTTTTGACACTGAAAGTTTTGAAGCAGAGCAGCTGCAAAGCTTTTAATAAAATTAAAAAAAAAATCCAAACTTATACAAAAACAAACCAAAATCCAACATCATGACACAATCCTTTGCACTGAATCTGAGTAATAAATGATGTACTTTAAATAATATTCATGAAATCAGCATGTTGGAGGAAATTAGGCTGATTCATTGTTATTAGGTATTTGTGCTTTCACTTTTCATGGCATGTAAAAGGCCTCACAGTCATTCTGGAAATAAAATACCCATGTTAAATATTGTGACAAAGTCAAAGGTCTTTGGGAAGTCTACTAGGTAGGGAAGTGATAGAGATGGGAGGTAGAAGTTAATAAAGTGCACCATTTGCTTGGAAAACACTCCCAAATTCCCTAACCCATAATTGATCTGTTTTCATGAAATGTATCTGAAAGGCTGTTTCATTGCACAGTGCCATGAAGGCAGCAGTTCTTCATGGGACTGTGGTAGACACAGCATGTGGTGTGAAATCTGAAAACTAGCCACAAACTTCTCACTGTTTTTACAGGGATATTAGACCCTTACTTATATCTTCAAAGTGTGATTCTTGGAGCAGTGGGTGGGTAAATAAAAATTACACCATCTTGGCCATTTATGTCTTAACACCTTTCTTAATCTTAAAGACTTTTCTTTATCTGTAAGGTCTTAAAGTACACCTGATCATCAAAGATTTCATTTTTAAGTTCTTTGTCAAGCCACCTACTGAAACTGTGGACAGGAACAGAGATATTTAAAGCTCTTTTTTTGGCTATGTAAGACTGCAAGAACTGCTCATAAATCAGGGAGGAGAAGGGTTTCTCTCTCTGAATAGCTAAAATGACACAAAATATATTCTATCATCTTGAACAAGGCATGTCAGTGAGTTCTTGCTTGCTTGTCCTGGATTTTAGGTGCAACACTCTTATTGTGTTGCACAGCTAGGCAAAACAATATATAGGAGTGATTCAGTAGTGATTGTCAATGGTTTGTTTCTGATTCGGTGTTTTGAACTATGAGATTGTCCTGCTCCGCGTAGGTCTTTGATTTTAAGCTCATTTACATTTCAACTGCAAAGTGGATTTCCTGTGTCAGATGAGGAAGGTAGATGCACTCTTCATCTCTGAATGCCCTGCAACCCTACTGAGCTTTAAATGTTTTGTGTCACTATGTTGAGATTTCAGATCAGAACCAGCAATTCTGTTTCTAGGCTTGCAGTCCAAGCACTGGTCCAGATACTACTTATTCCACAAGACTGGCCAGTTGAATAAGTGTGTTTGGTCAGAAAACTGCCTACCTCATCTACCACTTAATCCACCAATATCTGCCACAAATATTCTTCAAGAATTTGCATTACATAAATATACAAAGATGAAGCACAGGTTCTGGACTCCCAGGGGTTAATTTACACTCTTCAACAGCGAATGAGAGTTTTGAAATGCTACACTTGAAACAGGCCATTTGACTCAGCTCTGATTGCTTCTACATGCTAGCTGTGCTCTGATTAAAGAGAAAAATACAGCAGTTATCATGTTTATTGATATAAGCCAGATTTTTTTTTTAATATGCAAGGCCTTGGGAATCATTTTTCCTGGAAATAGTGCAAAGGACATTGGGAATGCCTTGAAGCGCCAAGAGTTTTTGGATGGTTTTCAGAAACAATAGCTCTCCGTAGTTTGCTTTCCCCCAGCGTTGATTGAGCTCAGCTTTTTGGCCTGCAAAGCATTTTGATTTCAGAACTGTTATTGTTACCAGTATGTTACGACACAGGCTGGGGAGAGAGGGGTTACAAATCCAGGAAAGCAGGTTGCCAAGGGCCAGCTGGAAGGCACGAAGCCGTGCAGAGCCCAGACTGCATTTCTGGTGAGGTGGTGGAGGGCTGAGGCTTTGAAATTGGTAGTGTACTTGTGTGGTTTGTGTCTCAAAACCATTTAAACCCAACTTCTGCATGAAATGAAATCCCAGCTTATCTCCATTTGCCATTTGCTCTTCATGGCTTTCTTGTAAAGGCAGAAAAGAACCCTTTAATCACCCTGAGAGCAAGTGCTCTTGTCCTGCTGCTGTCTGTTACTAATTGAGGAGAACCTAAAAATAATAACCTTATACTCTTGGAACCTTTCTTACACCATGCTAAAAGTGTAGGATGTTAGTCACAGAGCTGTGTGTCCATCGGGGCTGGGCTAATCCCCAGCTCTGGTGTGGTGGGAGCAGAGGGGAAGGAGAGGGCACTGGCACAGGAGTGTGCAGCAGGGCCTGGCTGTTGCTCTGGGGCTGCCTGAGTTCTGCAGGAGACACTAGTAACTGAGGAGGCTGCAAGAGCCTGCACTGCTGCTGAGGGCTCAGCCATGTACTTGGACAGGGTGTGGAGAAGGGGACAGGCTGTTCGGCTGAAAAATTAACTCTTTTCCTTAGAAGGCAGTGAAATGGGACTTGTAGAACAACAGTAAATCCTGCTATGTTCCTCAGGGGAGAGGTATCCTTTTTTCCATTAAATGGAGAGTTTAACTGTAAAAGTTAAGTTTTGTTGTTTTTTTGGCTTTTTTTATGCAAGCATCCACAGTTGTATTCTTCCGGACTTCACTTTTGTGCATCTTTGTTTAATTTTCTCCTGGTAGTTGCAGGGTGGAAATAATCTTGTGCAGCTCCACCAGGAAAGCATTTGGTGGTGGTGAATAAAGATATTGCCACAGGGGAATGAAGCTGACAGAAATTCAAATCTATATATCAATTCCTGACCTGCAAATTAACTTTTGACTATGAGTTATTGCTGTTGCAGTCTATATATACTGCATGACCTGTGCATTCCCCAACAGTCAGCTGAAATCCCAAAGCTTTCAAACAAAAAAGAAGTGTTAGCTGTTAAAGAAAGCATCACTAGGACATCTTGAGGGAAATGGCTTCCACTGAGGTGTAGAATGGAATAATGTGCCTGCTTCTGTTTGTCTTTTCTGCTGTGGAATGGAACAATTTAATTGCACCACTGATGGATAGAGGATCACATCAGAGTTCAAATGAGAGAAAACACTTAAAAATTATTTTCTGGACTCATTTACATCCAATCTTAATGCAGCAAATGAGATGATTAGATGTCATATTAGGAGTGTGAATAGAAAGATTCTGCAGCTATTGCTGGCAGGATAATTGTTAGGTTAACAGTCTTAAGGAGCCATGCTTCCCTCAAGAAACACATGCTATCGTGAATTTGTAAATTTTTAGACCAATAAAAAAAAATTGGGCACTGGGGAAGAAAAGATTAAATGCAATGTCCATTCTTGAGCAGCAGCTCCTCTGCTTTTCTATCTGCCTGGGGGAAGAGGGACATGACCAAGGCCCTGGGCTGTCGCCGTGAATCCAAGAGACAGTGATAAGAAGGCAGCAGATCAGAGGCAGGATGCTTAAAGAGAGCAAGCAGGCTCTGTCAGCAGCATGCCTCTGGGACAGGCCAGCTAGGAATGAATGATAACAGCATGAGGGAAATGGTGAAAATCTCTTTTTTAAGAGTTCAGAAAAGCAGCAGTCTGAGGTGAAGTGTATTCCCATAGCTGGAGTACACAAGTGTGGGCATGCTGGGGAGGGTTTATTAAATCTAAAGAGTCAAAAGATCATACTTGTAGGTTTCAAACTGTTGAAAAGTTTATTGGGCTTGAGTGATCATACCCACCCCTCCCCATACTGAGGGAAGCAAGGTGGCTGTGGTTGCACTCAGATATGGGAATTATGATGAGACCACTGAATTGCCCATGAAAGTAATAACTTGAGCATCATGAGGTATGTATTTACATACCAAATTATTTCCAGTCCAACAGTAAATTCCTGACAGCTGGAAGAAAATAGTGTCCAAGAGGACAAGTCAGTCACCAGATGGCTGGTTCTGCACCAGTGCAACAGCTGTCATCACAAACAGCACTGGCCTTAGCCACAAAGTCGGAGAAGAAGCCTTGATAAGAGGCCAGCCAGGAAATAACCACGGGCGCAGATGTTGCTGCTATAGTAGGCAGGGGAAGAAAATGAGAATTCAGAGCTTGGCATCTGGGCTGTTACACTGCCAAGAATGCTGGTGAATGACTATAAGGACTGCCTCTGTTGCTGAAGCAGGGTAAGAAGGAGCATGAACAACCACAAAATCCAAATTCCTTGGAAGAACAGGAGAGGTTTAAGTCTTGTCTGAGATTCCTGTTTATGTTTAGGGTAGCTAAAGTAACTACCTGGGAAACAACATTTGAAATTGCCATAGAGCAAATTTGTCTGGGTAGTTCTTTAGCTTCCAGTAAGGCTTGAGCTCAATGGGCCTATGGTTTTTGCCCCATGTTCTGTGCATTCCTGTAAGCATTCCCATGGGAAGGTTTGTCACTCGAGGGAGTGGTGAAAATGCAGAAGGGGGAACACAGTGGAATAATTTAGCGAAGCTTGCTTGAGGAGCCGGTTTGCAGCTCAGGTGTGACAATCACCTGATTCCCTACCTGGTGCATGAGTTGGGGAATGAATGGCAGCAGCCCTCCTGTCAGGCCCTTGTGTTACTTCTTGGAATACGTGCTCCACCATCTCTTTTAAATACAGAGATTTAGAGCTGTATTTATAGAGCATTCTAAAGTACATACACAGCTGTAAAAGTGCTGAGAAGATTTTTCCTGCCCTAGAGAGATTAAAAACTCATTCTCACAGCTAGGCCATGTGGACTAAGAGCATAGGGCTGAATTGAGCCATTCCTTGTAGGGAACTGGCCCAGGATAGTTTCCTGGAGTGAATGAGCCTGCAGGAACAATGAGCAGGTGGCAGGAAAGTGTGGCTGCTCTCCTCTCCAGGGACTCACTACTAATGAAAAGTATGCATAGGAAATCAAGATTTGAGCATAGCTGCACAAGCCATTCACAGAGCCAACATATGTGCTTGAATGGCTACCCCAGAGCTATCCAGAGTGGAGATTATTTTCTTCAGTACTCTGATATTATTGCCAGTTACATGGGAGTACTTCAGCACCCCAAACCATTCTTTGTGAGACATGGACAAACCTTACCGTACTGGGAAGTCCATGGATTTGGGGAAGTGGCTGGGGAAGATGAAATACAGCTACGGAGATGAGGATGGGAGAAAAGGGCAAGCCTGGCAATTGAGAAGAAACTCCTAATCCACTACAATGAATATTGAGCAATCCTGAAATAAGATTTTCAAATTTTTGTCCTAAATTGGGCACATGCATCCTACTTTCCTATAGTGACAGTGATGCAGCAAGGCTTGGTGGCCTGTGATTGGATTTCAGCTATTTAATAGGCTCTGAAAGGTTTGATCTGTTTGGTGACAAACTGGGACAATGGAGAGATAGTCACCTGGTGTGGGCTTTCCTGATGAATATACTGAATAGAAACTTTCTGTCATATGCCCTCACCAGGGAACTGTGGTCCTTGACTGTTTTAGATATGGGCTGAGATATTTATAGTTTTTATAGTTTTGGAAGTTCTTGTAACTTGACAAAAGGTTACTGCATGTTGAGGGAGCAGCAGTCATTTTCATCTGCTAATAAAATGACCATTACTTTTTAAAATTATGTTCCAAGATTTATATTTTTTTTTGTTAGGTTACAAAAATGTTTACAAAATGGTAGGGCAAAGAGTAAGAATAGGAGATGATGAATTCCAGCACATTGCTGAAGAGAAATATTGACAAGATTGCTTGAAAGGAGAAATAATTTATATCACTAGAAGTAAATACTGTCTGATCTTGAAAGGAGGTCAGACTGCTACAGTTCATCTGTTTTTTGTTAAACTGAAGAAAAAACTCAATTTATTGATTATTTGTACTATGATCAATCACATCACATATTGTTTTGTATGTTGTTGTACAAACATTGCTGTTTTGTAGCATCTGTCTGCTGTTTTCTTTAACTGCAACACTTTATTTTTTCAAATGGAGTTAAAATGACACAAGAGAATCATGGTGTTTAGGGGGAAGCAAGATATTTTCTCAGGTGAATTATTTAAGTTGGAAAACCTGTTCAGTGGAGGAGTCAGATGAGAATGCAAATACTCTGATCCGATATAATAAACACAGAAGGCACACATAATTAACTGAGAACATCCACCGAGAGGGAAGTGAGGGCTTAAAAACCTCTAGAAATGTATAAGAAATCAAACATGAATGAGGCCTGTGCCATGGTAGACACCAACAAGATAATGAAAATCTAAAGAATAAATAGGAAACATATCTAGAAAATGTTAAGGTGGTGTAGCAGTGCTATTTAAAAAAACAAAGCAAACCATATTAAGTGAGCAAGACTTTTTTGTGCTTTAATTCTCAAACTAGAAATATTGAAATCTAATGAAATTGTTCACTGTGTTTTTACAAAATACAGTTTTTGGTATAAGAGTACCAGTGACTCTATATATTTTCCAAAATGGGGCAGAATAGCTCTCCACTGATAAATGTTGATAAATGTTTAGAGAGCCTGGTGTGGCACTGGATGCATGTCCAAACACACGTATGGGATAGCAGACAGGAAGCTGTGCCAAGCAGCAGCACAGACCTCCTGCAGCCTGGCAGCTCTCTGCTGCTGCTGGCTCTGTGCATGAATTGATGCTGCTCCCTTCACTGCCTGCCTGTTGCTGTTATGGTTAATCAGAAGCAGCACAGGACCCCTCTGGAAGAATGAAAAGGACTAGAAAGGCTGACAATGGTAACACTGAGAAATAGAAGCAGATGGAGGTGAGGCATTGACAAAAGTATGTAGAATCTTTCAGCTTGAGGTTCAAAGTTCACATTTTGGTGAAGAGCACTAGTGACTGGTTACAAGTTATTTATTTGGGAAGCCTAGCTGAAATGCACTCTTGTCTTGAAAATCTCAGATAACTGCAATACCTGCTGCTGGGACAGGAACACATAGATAGACACGTGCTCTTCCACATCCATGAGTTATGGTGTGCTTAGTGAATAGCATGGAAACAGTGAGGGGGTTAACTGTGGAGAGCTGCACTGCACATGCTGGGATGGTTCCCCAGAAAAGTGCATTGTATGTGGCTTGGTGGCAAGCACAGCTTATGGAAGCATTGCAGATTGCAACCCTCCTACAGACTACTTGCAAAACTTTACTACAAAAATGTACACTTCTAAGTCTATAATGCCTCTGTACAGTGTGGATGGGATACCTCTTGAATGATTTCTTGACCCTTTGAACATCAGCATAAATGATGAAAAGAATTTTGAAGAACAAGTCAAATATTGATAAACTTGTGCTATAAGTGGTCTTGTGCTATCAATGGTCCTGTAATTTCTCTCACCTCAGGACCTTACTTCCATGCATGTGGTAAGTGACTCAGCCTGGATTTTGGGTTTTTTGGATAAGCTGTCTAAGCAGAGGTAAGGAACCAGAGGCGGTGGAAGCTCTGCGATTCTTATGTTAAATTAGTGTCATTAACCAATGAGTTTTGTAGGCAAGAGGCATCTTAATATTGTTCTCCTTCATCACTACTCTTTGATAAGTAGAGATAGCCACTTGAGAAAATCCAACAAGTGAAAAAAGCAGTACCCACGCTGAAACCAGTGGAATGAAACAATAAATTGTTGTAAATATGAAGAGAATCAGAAGAACTAGAAGGCCAATTGCTATTGCTGAACTTTTTTTACTCTTAAGATTAAAAAGCTCCCCAGTCTCTTTCTATAAGAAAGGCAGGTAAAGATTTTGGGTTTGAGGTATTTGTACTGAAAGAAAGAACATTCGAATTTTGCAACTCTGATGACACCTGTCCAGATTTCCAGGACTGAGACAACTCATCTGGGAAACATTGTCTGTGGTGTGTTGCAGCCCATGTCAAGTTCTTTTTAAGTCTTACCCACGCTTTACAAAGTCAACAGCATTCCTAGCTCCAAGCCTGTTGCCATCAGGTCTGCATTTCTCCTACCTGTTTGTGAGGATAGACATTAATGTGGCACTTGATACATTCTTGTCCCATGTTAGCCCAGGAGTTTCCACTCATCCATTTTCTCTTGCATTTGGGGCACTTATATTCACCAAAGCAGCGTTTCTTGCCCTGGTATGGTGTCAGGCCTTCTCCTTTTGGACGAGCCTACAAAACAAAGGGAAGTAGCAATGAATGACTGAAAATGGGTGGGTGTGGGTGTGTGTAGTAGAAAAATAAAGATTTTTTTCTAATTAAGAAACTTTGGGCAGAAGATACTGGAGGCAGGTATGAAGGACATGTCCCTTGAATGAAGAGTTCATATCTTGAAGCCAGAGTTTAACAGTTCTGAAAGTAGTTTCTGTAAGAAGTATTCAAAAATTCAAGAAAACATAATACTTGTTAGTGACACTGAGTGTTTGGAAATATACCCTTTCACTCTTTGAGTAAATAGTTTTACTATTAGTTTCATTATGATAAAATCATCTCTATTGAGTATCTATCACTAGCAATATATATGTCATCAGGGGGAGTAGCTCATTAGTAATAAAGTACTACTTTTTTACTAGAAATTCCAGTTTAGAAATCTAGTCTATTTTCCCCTAAAAACCTGTAGTTAAGAAGACTTTTAATGGTTCTGCTTGTCACAGCCTATATGTTATCATATGGGAGTGCACAAACTGGGATTGAGTATGAAGGAAAGACATTCTGACTATTGGAAATAATAACTTTTATTAACTTTATCTGGTTTCTGGCTCTTGGTAAATGGTTTCACTATGTCTGCCTTTTGAAGGAAACAGGAAAGGATTCTCAAATGGTGTGTTGTGATGTCTGAATGTTAAATGTCCCTTAAAGAAAGCCTTTTTATCTAGGGAAGTCAGTCGAGTTGACAATGACTGTATGCAAATACCAGGTTTATTTCTTGTACATGCATTCACTCACTAAAACTGTGTATTGTGCTTAACAAAATATGTTGAGGTATGTGAAGATGAGGGTGTTGCATCCAGCTGTGCTAGGATAGCTGTAAAGATGAGGCTGTTTTCCCAGAGTCCCTAGCAGGTGTCAAAACACTGTCCATGTCACTGTGTTCAGTTTGTTGCTGCCTAGAGGGAGATACTTTGCCTGTATAGTGGCAGTGTACTATGATCACCTAGCAAAGGGTTCTTTGTCACTTACTTACATGTCAGGCCTAAGTAGCTTTTCTTTTTTAAGGCTTCCAGATAAAGTTTACAAAAGTGAAATGAGCCATCATGCTGGGAAGGCATTTGTTTTTGTTTTGGGAGTCTGTACGATTTCTCAGTGTGTAGGTCCAAATTGCTTTCTATGAGAAAACATGGGTTGCACAAGCAGGTGGTTGGCAGAAGACCTGAACTTGGCAGGAGCTCTGGGACTCAGGCTCCAGTGGCTGATGGAGATGATGAACACTGTTACCTCCTGGGTCGCGTGTGGGAGCAAGAAGGGAAAGGAACATTGAGTGCGCTCTCCCCTGCATGCTGTGGGTGGAAGAGCAGGGGACACCAAACCTACTCCAGCCTTTTTTTCTTCCTGTAGTGTCAATAAACAACATTCTCTGGTTTTTATGTTTATTCCTCAGCATAGCAATATTCTTTAGAAGACTGGATCAGTAGCAACTTCCATTACAAACGGGCAAACTTGTATAGTCATTTGCTTCTGACAAGCCACTGTAAATATTCTGTCTGACAACAAAGATAAAGCTGACCAGGGCACACATATTTACAGTAGTATAGCACAGAAGAAAAAATAGTGCATTGATATAGTGATAAACATTCAGACTTCCATAACTAAGTGAGTGCTGGCAGGCACTTAGAGTGTAGCTCTCCAACCCATGGTGTCCCTTGATAAGAATGAGAGATTGCAACTGAATGTAGTGCAGGAAAATGTCAATTTATGGAGACATCCTTATTCTGGATACTTAATTTGGTTCTGCCTCTGAGAAGCTCATAGCACAACTCAGTATAGGAAGCCACATGCTCTCTTCATTTAGAAATTCTTATGGAACTGAACAGAAACCCTGTGTCTAAAGAGCTCCTGTGTTTAAGACCTGCCCTCTCCTCCTGAGGCGTAACAAATTGTTCTATTTGCAGTTTCTCTTGGGGGGGGAGGTGTTATTGAATGGAAGGCACATTATTTTTGATTCTCTGATTAAGTCACCCTCTATGTAAACTCCTCCGGCAGCCAGACTTGAAAATGCAGCTCAGTGCCCCTACCAAGCAGTGGTCCCTTCAGAAAATGTGCAGTTCACAGGGTTCATTATTTCCAAAAGAAATAGCACTGACTTTGGAGACAGAGTGCATCTTGGAAGTCTTGTAAATGTTTACAAAGAGTATTTGAACATAACACTCCCACAGCAATATGTTATGTCAGTCATGAAGAGCGTTTAAACATCAGACTCCCACAGCAATATGCTGTGCCAGCCACAATTCCCAGATGGGAAACTTTCAGAGACGGCCACTTGGGCGGGCCAATGACTGTGGGTTTGTCCAGGTCACATTCGTGACTTCAGAGACACCAGTGCCCTGAAACTCTGCCCTCACAAACGCACAGGGAGCACTGAAGATACTGATCTGTGGAGTCCTCTGTGTGTACAGCTAGGCATCAGAAATGGAGGCTTTCCAGATTAAAAGCTACTTCTAAAATCTGGCTTCTCCAACTTTCTTGGTAAATCGGAAGCAGAACCAGGAAAAGAATGTAGGAGGCCTGACTCTGTTGGTTATTTCCTGTTATAGTTGTTAGACTAAACTTTTGATTTGTTTTTATTTTGACTTTTTGACTGTCACAGCTCCCTCCTCAGTCAGTGACTCTAATTAGTTTGTTGGCAAAGTTACAACACTCTCTGTAGGTGCTTTGCCATTGTGCTTTATGGATGTTTACATGTTGCCCTAATAGATATTATTTTCCTTCCCATATCTTCAGTTTCCCAAGCTGTGCCCCACAGGGAATTTAGGCTTACAAACAAGCAAGCTCATTTTCTCTAGTGGGAAACATCATTAGGAATCACTGACAGCAGTGAAGGCAACCCTCCAAATCCCTCCACCCTGCAGAACCAGGGAAAACAGGTATTTGACAGTATTTGGTAGAAGGCAAAATCTGAGTGAGGTACACTAATGGCCTGGGAGATCTGAGGCTGGGTATTCTGGTTTGTTTGTTGTTGGGGCTTTTTTGTAGCTGTTGGGTTGGGATTTTTTTGTTGTTGTTTTTTTTTTTTTTAATTTAAACTGTCTGGCTCCAGCAGGAGCACAGCTGAATTGCATAAACATTTCCAAGAAACAGCCTGCTCCTTGGCACAGAAGCAGCCAGCCCTGCCCACAGGGTGCTCGAGCACCCGGTCACTCTGCAACTGAGGTATCTCAGTGCCCATTCAGCTGGAGGGCAAGAACTATTTTTACCAGAGGTTTTTCCTTAATTAAATGCCAAAAGAGAGCAAGAGGACACATTTTGTCATTTGGTATTAACCTAAAAATCCTTACTTTCCAGAATGTGGGATTTACCTTGTTTAAACCATTAGCCTCCTATTCTCTCTCCACTGCAGCTCCATTTGAATGGTGGTTAATAATAAGCTTTGGTTGGTGTTTAGGTCCTGCAATTCCTGTACTGAGCATTCTCTTCTTACTCTGTTTGCAGATAGGGATTTATTTATTTATGTGCAAAGTTAATCTGGCAAAGTTATGCTCCTATTCATAATGGTACAATATTTTGTTGTTACCATATTAAAATACACTGTCCCATTGCCTGTAGGCCCAGGTAAGTCTTTGCCCTGGTTTTTGTCCTTGGCTGCAAAAACTTTGTGTGTCTGCATTCGGATGTTTCAAGGATTTACTGCATCCTAGACAGGTGGGCCTTTGGAGAGGATCAAAAGCAAACAGATTTTGCTACGAGGACCAGAAACTAGCCATTGCCTGAAGTATGTCTCAATGTCAAGATCTAGGTATTAGGGAGTTGTGTGATGTTTTGACTTTGGACAAGCACTGACACAACTGCCATCACCTTTGCAGGTGTATCTAGTCAGTGTGTGTGTTTGCCTTGGCTGGAAATAACCAGTGTACAAAGCCAGTGAATTTTGTGTGGCACAGTAACAAAAATTACCTCAATATTCCATCCCTCACTGACACCCAGCTGTCTCTATTTTTCATCTTCTTTCTTTCTTGAGCCAAAACCACAAATTGGCCATCATAAGATTTTAAAAGTGTTTAAGTTGAGCTTTTCTGCTGGTAACTGGCCAGTCCAGCTCTCTGTCAACCTATCAGAGAGTGCATCTCATGGGGGATCTGCCAAATCACTTGGCAATGACGTACATAATAAAGGACTCTCTGCTTTCCCTAAACAATTCCCTCAAAGTATCAGTTTGCAGAGTCAGCAAAAACAAAACATGCCCCCCTCCCCCAACATGCCCTGCTTAAAACTAGATTCATTATAAACAACATGATGCTGAGTTTTCTCAAAGCAAAATGCAGAGACACAATTTAATGCTTTTCTTCCCCTCATCTCCCCCCAAGTTTGTTTTACACGGCTGAAAGGGCTCTGTACAGCACAGGAAAAGATGAAATCAGCCTAACATTGGTAGGTGGATCCCCTTCATAGGAGAACTCTGAGGGTCTTCTTGTAAGCATGCTTTATCAAATGAAGAGAAAAAGGTAACAGCAAGCAACAGCTTGATGCACTGACTGGCTCCCGAGTGGTTTGTGGGAGTGGGAGGGTCAGAGCTGTATTTTGAAATGTGAATGCTCCAACACTCGCAACTGAAAGTCAGCACAATTGGGAGATGGCATTAAAAATGCCCTATTACTCTTATTGTGTACTGCTGTACGTGCCTATCATATCTTTTAATAAAGAGATGATAATGCATCCCCAAGAGGTTCAATTAGAAAATGAAAAGTATAAGGACTGATTCAGTGTACTGGGTGTTGTGGCATTCTAGTCCTGAGGCTGCAGCAAGTTGCAGAGTGTTGGGAAATTGACAGAAGTGCTCTCACCTGTCTCAGCTCTGTGCATACTGTGTAAAGAATGAGGACACACTTTCACACTTATGCTGAAATGGCACATAAAAGGGAATCTTTGGATTGGTCAACTTTTTTTTTCCCCTTTTTCCTGCCTCACTTTTGTGCTCATCTAAATCTTGAGTGTCAACAGAATGCAGAGGCAGATAGGCA